ACAGGAAAGAAACACCAAGGAAATGCACAGTTGGTTAATGACTACTGGTATTAGGAGAAAAAAACAAAACAAACAAAAAGTTGCTTGATCATGGCAGGGTCTCTCTAAAGCATTTTCATACATCTCCTGTTTGCAAATCCTAGCACGTATTAGAAAGAATCTGAAAACGTTTATAAAGCCCTGGGCATATTGCCATAGTTCTGTTCTCCTCTGTGGACTAGAAAGGAGTTTGGGTGGGCACTGTGTGTCCTAAGTAGTGAATGGTATTTCTTGGTGTGACATAGTGTAGATGAAAGAAGTAGGGCTGTGCTGAACATTTTAAAATCCCCAAGGAAAATAGAAATCTGAGAGACTTAGTGTGTTTTGTTTTGTCACTTAATTCAGCCTTGCACTGCAGGGTAAATAACAATTTTTATTAAGAGGCTTATATCAAAACATGGTATTGTGAACTTCAAAGAAAACAGTGATTAGAACATAAGCAGCTTTCAAAAGTCCTTGCCTTAACTTTTTTTTTTTTTACATGAAAGCAATGCTTGTTTCAGTTGAAACTATAGGATATGCATTTGGGCTCTCTGAATGTTGTACTGTGTAGCTGCGCGGTTCCTACTGCACCGGTTGGCAAGTTCCCAGCAAGTATTAGCTCCCTCTGAGCTAACAGCCTTACCACTTTTGCAACATCATGGGGTGGGTGTTTTGTTTGGTTTTGGGTTAGGAGAAAGAATTACTTCTTGCGTGTTATCAGAGAACTGGATGATCTTAAAAGTCTCTTCCAACCGAAATGATTCTATAATTCTATGATTCTAAATCAAAAAAACTTTTTATTTTATGCTGTATTTCAGGCAAGACTTGTGAGAATAAGAATACAGACAGGAGTGGCAAGACAGATGTTTTGTCTAAGGAACAGTCCAAATAATTATAGTCAGCCTCTCTGAGTGTCTTACTCATTTTGATTAGGTGATGTTGCCTGGTTTTTTTTGGTCCTGAACAGTTCTACAGTAGTGATGACCAGTAAAGAAGCAGGAGTCTACCCCACAGTTGACATCTTGGTGCTAGATGAAATCTTATCTTCGTACTACTTTTCTGTCTGACAAAATGTTGCGGTTTCATTGATCCTTCCTCCTGAAGCTTTAAAAATGCATTAAAAGATCTTTAGAATTTTTATGGCATGTTAGGATACTACAGCTCAGCAAAGTTGTCGTCTTGTGTTTTGCTTGTAGAGGTCCTACAGTAAAGAGCTCTTTGAGGAGGTGATCTCAAAGATGAGAAAGGCTGGCATCAAGTCAACCATAGCAATAGAGAAATTCAAACTGCTGGCAGAGAAAGTGGAGGAAATTGTTGCCAAGAATGCCCGTGCAGAAATTGATTACAGTGATGCTCCGGATGAATTCAGAGGCAAGTTAAGTTTTCTAAATACTGACTTTTTAGGAGAAGAGGGATTTGTTTTGTTACAAATATGAGTCTAAATATGTATATATTAATAGAAACTATGTATTGTTTATGAAGCCTTGCATCCTGCTCTGTGTCAAGTAAATAGAGCAAAGAGTTTCTTTGTTTTCCCTGGGATTGTACTGTCCAGTCCTATCCATGTTTTACTTACATGTACTTTTAAAACAGTAAAAAAAACCCAACCAACCAAAAAAAATCCACCAAAATCTGAAAATAGCTAATGCTTAGTCCCAATTCAGAAAGGGAAAAGCACTATAAAGGCTGAAGTCCATTGCTAATTTTAACCATTTTCTGTAACTTCAGCAATATACCTGATTGGGGACCCTGAGTATCAGTTCCGCACTGTGGTTTTGTGTGCAGATAACATTTGTAGCCATTGTCCTCAATTTAATGAGGAGACGCTTGTGCCCTCAGATCCACTTATGGACACTCTGATGACTGATCCTGTGAGGCTGCCATCTGGAACTATTATGGACAGGTCAATCATCCTGAGGCATCTGTTGAACTCATCCACGGATCCTTTCAATCGTCAGACGCTGACAGAAAATATGCTGGAACCAGGTATCGCTTTAACAGTTAGCAGTGGAACTGTTGACGGGGGAAGGAATTTGTGTGCGGTTAGTTCTGTATACTTTCAGAAGACAGTGTTGGGGCTTCAGTAGAGGTAACAGTTCTTTCATCTCAGCTTGCCCAGAAAAGTTCGTTCCTTCTGTTTTCCCTTTTTCTGGGGGAAAAAAAAAACCACACCCTTGCCTTTATAACTGCTGGGCCAAAGGATACTATTATGGTAGGTAAATGAGTAATTTGATTACTTAAAGCCGTGCAGAAAATACATTGATAGAGAAGAAAATAGTAGATATTCTGGATCAGGTTTCTAGAAAAGAAATTGCTATTGGTCATGAGGAGCATTCTTACAGTATTATTACTAAACAATTTAACTGCTAAGTTAATCATTCTTTTTTTTCCTCTTCTTTACCTTATTAGTGCCAGAACTTAAAGAGCAAATTCAAGCCTGGATGAGAGACAAGCAGAATGCTGACCATTAAAAATTCCCTTGCAGTGCACGCCAACACCAATGGGAGGAGCAGGGCGTGGGCTGTTCTGGTAATAGTGGAGCAGATACACTTTGAAAGCTGGTGATGGGATTAGCACGCCCACTGGCACTGACTTGCAGTAGTGACCAGAAGCATGTGGATGAGGAGCGGCTTAATTCTTGTACATATATTTAAGTGATAACGATGGTCAATAACATGGAGGACAAGCTAGGAAGTTGCTTATGTTACAAAACTGTCCTTCAATATGTCACATTTTGGAGTTTTTACAGCTGAATTATTTTAGCAAAGATGAATGGATCAGGGCAGCATCCCTTCAACCTTATTTTTTACAGCCAGATATCCGTTAATTTGATTGTGGTTAGAACCTTGGACATTTTTGCTGCTAAAGTAACTTTT